CGACTCGCAGTAAGTCGACCAGCACCTAGAATTCATTTAGTTTCGTCGCACATCTTCCTGCAAATCGCCAAATGGAGGGAAATAGAGATAATTCCGTTCCGAAAATCGCGGAGTTACGTTCCGAGCATAAGCAGATACGTGCGGCGCTCCCACGACTCGAAAAACTCCTTGCGAACCAGTCGGCAACCGCCACAGCAGCAGCGAATGCAGCAGCGACAGCAGCAGCGGCGACACCGACAATTCTACCTGCGACAACGGCAGCAGCTACAGTTAACCTCGAAGCAGTGAAGCCGATTCTACCGGAGGCGTTCGATCCTACAGTTTAAGGGAACGACGTTCGTCGATTTGTAGCTGAACTCGAAATTTACTTCGAAGCCGTAGGATGCACGACCCCGACAAAAGACGCAATGCGCATACGGCTCGCAGCAACACTGTTACAAGGCCCAGCTCTAGAGTGGATCAACAACAGAATAGTCCAAGGCGAAGGGACGTGGGCGCAGTTTCGTGCAGCACTGATCGAACAGTTCGACGCGTTGAACAGTAGCTACTATGGAACACGACGCAACAAGCCAAATAGTGGCATGGGGCGATTGGCACCACCCACGACTGCCGACCCGATGGAGAACGACAAGGGCGATGTGGAGCAGCGGCTAGCAAAAAATGAGACGTGCGGATTTTGCGGCGCTACAGGACATCGTATCTTGGCGTGTTGGAAAATGAAGAAAGTGCGTGCGGAGCTGAAGGACAAGAACAGTGTGGCACCCCCGAAGCAGAAAACGGGCAACGTGGCAACTTCGGAGAGTATGGTGGCGCAAATTTAAAACGTCACGACCAGCCGGCACCAGGGGAAATCGCCGAGACTAAAGGAGGATCCGCGAAACAAGACCCTGCACCGACCGGGAAACTCCAGCCGTACACCCCGACAAGTAAGAATATTACTTATCGTGGGTTTCAAGCCTTTATTAAAGGAGAGTCAGAAATTAAACCGGTACCGGGTAATATGGGGACCCTACTCCGGAGCGCTAACAAGGGTCGAGCGTTCCGAGGAGTTAATATTCTCTCCCAGCAGCACTGTTTAAAGGCTCCCTGTTCCTCACAGATGAAGCCTACACAGCTGCAAAGGCTTAGGGGAAGGTTCCAGGCACAGGAGAAGCTGTACCAGCCTCGGATAAATCCTTCTAACCCTACTCAGATGAAACCTGATATTGAGTCAGCAGATTCGAGCGCAGGACCTAAGGACGATATATTTGACGTACCCTATGATCCTGTGAGCGAGACCATCTACGGCTACTCGGAGCAGCAGCAGCCACTACTCCTCGAGGTGATCTGCAACGGGCGACGCCTCCAGGCACAAGTGGACAGTGGTGCGTCCCACTCGGTGTGCGACCGCGGGACGTTGGAGAAAATTGGAGAATCCTCAGAGGAGACCCAATTTACAGCAACGATGGTGGACGGTACGAAGCTTCCCATCCACGGCAAGACAACATTGCAGCTGCCGATAGGGGCGTTGAGGTGGAAGCCGACGTTGCCGATCACGAACATCAAGGGATTAGATTTCATCTTGGGGCGTGATTTTCTGAAGCGGTTCAACCCCGAGATAGACTGGGTCAACCGGAAGGCGTGCATCTACAACAACGGGAAACGTGTGGAGCTACGAAGCTGGACGGATACAGGGGATGTCCCGGAGACAACACTTGCACGGTTCGAACGGACAGTGAACGAGAGTAATACGGGTTACTTAGCACTGGTGATGGCAGCAGCAGAGGAGGAGAAGCCGAACGCAGAGCTACCTGCAGCAGGGAAGGAGGTGTTGGAGCAGTACACAGACATCATGCCAGACAACCTACCGGTAGGAGTACCTCCAGCGCGAGCCCACGAGCACGAGATCGTGGAGGAACCAGGTGCGAAACCCGTCTCACGTGCACCATACCGCCTTAGTCCGACCGAACTGACAGACATGAAGAAACAGATTGAGTACCTACTGGACAGACAACTGATCCGCCCATCCACCTCTCCTTGTGGTGCACCAGTTCTCTTCATTCCAAAGCCAGACGATAGTTTACGGATGTGCATTGACTACCGGGAAATGAACAAACAGACAGCACTGACCACAGCGCCAGTACTCATCCTACCGGACCCAGAGAAGGACTACGTGGTGGAAGCAGACGCTAGTGACCAGGCAGTCGGAGCAGTACTGATGCAGCATCACGGACGCAGTTTGCAGCCCATCGCCTACCTCAGTAAGAAGCTGTTACAGTGGGAGAAGGACTTAGCTGTAAGAAAGGGATCAAGAAATATTTGGGTACCGAATTACGCCCCGCTACGGCAGATCCTATTGGAGGAGTTTCATGACGTACCATACGCGGGACACTTCGGGAGCAACAAGACGTTAGCAGGGATAGCAAAGTATTACTACTGGCCCGGGATGGCAGTAGACGTGCAGCAGTTCGTCACCTCATGTGACACGTGCCAGCGGATGGAGAGTAGCAAGCAGAAAAAAGCAGGGTTACTTCAGCCTCTACCCGTACCGGAGCAGCCATGGCAAGTCGTCAGCCTAGACTTCATCACTGGGCTACCTTCGACCTCACGAGGGCATGACGCTATACTCGTGGTGATCGACAAGTTCTCTAAGATGGGACACTTCATCCCGACCAACGCCACAGCTACAGCTGAAGCAACTGCGCGCCTCTTCTTCGACCGCATCATCACCATCCACGGCATCCCCGCTACACTCATCTCAGACAGAGACCCAAAATTCACCAGGAAATCTCCTTTCTTCCTGTGTTACGGACAAGAACCACTTACACCACAGCAGCCAACCACACCGGCACACGTCCAAGCCGCACATGACTTCGTCACCACCATGCAGCAGCTATGGGAGAAGACTCAGCGACGCCTCACCACGATGCAGACCTCCCAGAAGCAGTATGTCGATCGCCATCGACGTGATCACACCGTAGCAGTCGGAGATCAGGTGCTTCTCGACACGCGCAACTTGAACCTGTCTCACCTACCATCCAAGCTCCGGCCTCGCTTCTGTGGTCCTTTTCACGTTGAGGCACATGTGGCACCAGTAACATTCCGCTTGCGCTTACCTACTACGTGGAAGCTTCACAACGCTTTCCATGTTCAGCTACTGAAGCCCTACAAGGACCCCAACCAACAGTTCCAGGGACGCCAGCTACCGCCACCACCACCTGTTCTCGTACAGGATGAACCAGAGTACGAGGTGGAACGAGTGCTCGCTCACCGACGCAGACACGGCAACACGCTCGAGTTCCTAATACGCTGGAAGGGATACGACCCATCGGAGGACAGTTGGGTTGCAGAAGCTGATATGGGCAACGCACGCCGTGCTCTCAACGACTATCTTGTCAAGCAGGGTGTTTCTCACGCCACCCAGCTTTGAGGGGGGGACGTGTGAGAGTACGACGGCTTATGTTGGCTTTGCTAGCTTGCCTGGACATTATTATGCTATTACTAGCTTAGGTTTTATTTATCATGCATAGATATGCTTGATTTCCTAGGTTAGGTGCTTTCCTATATGTTATTATAGTTATAGCACCGAACCAGGTTACGTGTACCGAACTCAAGTCTATTCGGTTTCCACCGAGTTGCTTTCTACTGAGTTCGGGAAGGTTCTGTTCGGGACGCTTCGCGACCCTTAGAACATTCGCGTAACACCTGGGTTACCTGCCTTGTGTCGAGCCTATATATAGCCTCGCCTTGTACCCAGGTGAATCATTCAATATATTTATCTTTCCTGAACCAGATCCTCACAGTTGATTGCTGGCGGGCGGAGTCACGTTCCGCCGTGAGTGTCGCGATTTCGAGCGCCGAATCTTCGAGTTGGCGCACGAGACGGTCGAGCTGCTCCTACGTCAATGTCGCGAGAGTAATTTCGGCCATGGTGGGGGTGTCGGGCAAACTCAGCGAGAGCCTCTGTCGTGGCCGTGCGTGCTTACGAGAGAGCACTTCGAGCGGCGGTGCTTGTTCGCTGAGAGACGTCTACCCCCCCAAAAAATGAGATAATTTTGAAGCGAAGGTGTGGGCGCGGTCCGAGAGGAGATCGTAGGCTCTGATACCAAGTGTTACGAGTGCAATTGAGTGAGCGAGCGAGAATTGCACTATCGAAGCAAACAATACAGTTGAGCGAAAAGCATGAGCGAAGTTATATAGCGAAGCTAGCGTGGTAACGGTAGTGCGGGAAATCGGGGTGCGCTACGGGCCTAGCGCCGATGTTGGGAATTGTCGAGGCGAAAGTCCGGAGCGCGGGTTATCAACCGAACCGTTAGGTTGGGTCGCATCGTGAACAGTGGCGGGAGTCGTGGTCGAGGCGAATGTCGCGAGCGGGTAACGTTCACGGATGGGTGCCGATGGCGGGAACAGGCACGTACGCGGTAAGCAGGGACGCGAAGTAAGGAAAAGGATTTTTCCTTACAATTGTATTCTCATTCATAGTTTCTTTATAGAAGTCTTCCGCGCACTCTGTTTAGTACACCTCATAACAGTCCCCTTATTTGATAGCCCCCTAAATGCAGAACCTTAAAGCCAGGGTCTCAAGTATTGATGGTGAAAGTTTGGCTGTGATTAGTTAGCGAAGTTGGAAGGTTTGAAGAGGGTTGAAGCGAGGGGTGCGAAGCAAACTCAAATCGCTGGGTGTAACCAAACCTTCTAGGCTTGGAAATTGGCTCGGAACCAAACCTAAAATGCCCCCAACTCATCGAAAGTCTCAAGCACCCAAAAGTGTTGTGCAATCGCTTCTGGGGCAATGACGGGGTATGTCGCAAGCTGATTTTTGCAATAACTAGGTAACTTAGCTTCAACTGCTTTGCAGTTGACGGCTCCTTAGCTTACTTGAGACCCTGGCTTTAACTAGCACAAAGAAGCATACAATTTCATGTATATTAGTTAGCTTGTCGTAATATTCACACAAATTTACAGTATACATATTCGTCAGCACAGCAGCACACGGCAAGACAGATTGAATCGTGTGAGCGCTAGTGGGAAGCCATGGCAGCTGGCGAGAGGGCGTCAAGCTTCATGTCCCACACCCACCCGCTCTCAAACCGGGGGCTTGCAGCCAGCAGCGCCCCCGATCCCACTCCTGATCCCGACCCAGGCGCATGGGCATGCGCTTGCACATGCCCCCGCCCATCCTCGTGCCCATTACCGAAGCCATGGCTTCCCTCCATGTTCCCCTCCTTTGAGGGATCTGCGCCTGTTGGATTGCTGTGGGCTGGTGGTGGTGTTGAGCCGAGCAAGGACGCTAAGTGGGGGGAGGTGAGGGGAGGGGCATGGGAGAAGGGCGGGGTGAAGGAGGGGGTGAAGGCGGAGGTGAGGGAGGGGGTGAGTAGTGGTGCTTGAGTGGGTGTGAATAGCGATGAGCCGTGGAAGTGATACAGAAGCGGGCTCTGTAGCTGCTGCTGCTGCTGCTGCTGCTGCTGCTGCTGCTGCTGCTGCTGCTGCTGCTGCTGCTGCCCGTTCTTCTCCCCCTGCTGCTGCTCGCACATTCCCTCCTGCAGTGCGTGCTTGCCTGCAGTGCGTGGTCCTCCTTCCTCACTCCCACCATGCACCCCTGCCTCCTCCTGCACCATGCTCACGCTCCTCCCCTCCGCCTGCACGCCTGCATTCCCCACCACTCGAGTCACACGCATGAATGGCCGGTGGATCTCAACAGTCATTGGTCGCTGGCTGCGGCACCCCCTCCTCTGCCTCGCCTTGCTGCGCCCGCCACTGCTGCCTCCCTTGCTCACCCGCACCCCCTGCTCTCTGCACTCCTCCCCGGCACTAGCAGCTTCCTCGTTGCTTCCTTTTTCTTCTTCCACCGGGTGCTCCCAACAGCCCTGCTCTCGCGCCCTCCACTCACCACCCTCCATGAGCCTCACTCGCTTGTGCGCACTGCCATCCGCAGTCAACCCATCGTCCAGCACCCACTGCTTCTGCCCCGCCCTCCTTGCTGTCTGCTCCGCTGCCATGCTCTCCTCACTCCTTGGCTGCCGCAATCTCCCCCCACCACTGGCCCCCGCACCACTGCCCCCCTCACATGTCCCTACCTCCGTCCGCCGAGCCTGTGTGCTGCACTCCCCACCCCTCCCAGCCACACCACCGTCCTGATTCACCTCACACCCCCCTCCCTGTGCTCCATTCTGCCCGCCATCCCCCATCTCCCTCTCAAGGTCATACGAGTCCCCTACAACCTCCACACCCTCCGCCTCCCCTTCCTCCACCTCCTCCTCTCGCTCCTCCCCTTCTTCTCCCCCCTCCTCCCCCTCCTCCCCACCCTCCTCGCCCTCCTCCCCCTCCACCCCCTGACCCGTCTCCAGCCGATTCATCCCATCCACCAGCTCTCGCTCGCATGCCTTTTCACTGTCACCGCCACCACTGTTGCCGCCCCCACTGCCACCCGCATCACTGCCATCACTCCCCACATCACCACCCCCACCCCCACTGTCCCCCAAAGCAACCATCTCCCCATCCGCATCTCCCTTCCCCACCTCCCCGCTAGCCCATCCCCCCTCCATTCCCCCACTCTCCCCTCTCTCCCTCATCTCGCCCGACACAAGTGGGCTGGTGACGTCAGCGCAGGGCATGAAGGCGTCAGCAGCAGGGAGCGGGAACAGAGGCGTGGTGACGTCAGCGGTGACCTGGCGCAGCGCTGGCGGCATGCACTCCCGGAGGGCGGCACACATGCCACGTGGGCTGTCCAGGATGGCTTGCCACACTCGCCGAGCCTCCTGCAGCTGCTGCAGCCGCCGGTGCGACAGAGGCGGCTCCGAGGCTTGTGCTGCTGCTGCGGCTGCTGCTGGAGGAGCAGGGGCGGGATGATGGGTGCTGGCGGGGGCGGTGGTGTGGGAGGGGTTGAGAGCGGGCGGTTGATGGGACGAGGAGGGGTTGGTTGGCAGCAACAGCAGCGGTTGCTGGGCTGCTGCTGCTGCTGCTGCTGCTGCTGCTGGTTCTTTGGGCACATGCAAAAGAGGTGCAGTGGCAGTGGCAGCTTCAGCGGCTGTATCAGCATCGGCAACAGTGGTTGTTGCAGCAAAGCGAGAGGCACGAGCAGGCACAGCAGCAGCTGCAGTAGCAGGGGCAGAGGAAGGGACAGTTGCGGCAGCAGCAGGGACGGCAGGAAGTGAAGGAGCGGCAGAAAAAGGGGCAGCAGCAGCAAGAGGGAGGGGAAGGATGGCAGCAGAGGCGCCTCTAAGTGCTCGCCTCCTCATAACCGTTCCCATGCCCTGCCCCCTCCTCACTGGCCCTACCACCCCACTCGGCCCCACCCTGTCCGCACCACCTGTTGCCCTACCCACAGCATCCACGCACGCCAAGCGAGCCATGCCACCGAGCCCGTTCATCCCTCCCACACTCCCCACATGCCGCATGCCACCCAGCCTTGACACGTCCCCCAGGGGCCTCTTACCGCCCACCCTGCCCATGGTATTCACCCCATCTGCGCCCACTGCACCAGCAGCACCAGCGGCGCTACCCACGGGGCATGATGCGGCTGGCAGCCCAGCCAGCGGCCTCTTCCCGCCCACACGCCCCCTGGCGTCCATGCCGTCAGCCGCGCCCACGCTCCCCATGCCCGGGAACACAGCGGGCGGCAGGCAGCGCGGCGTGGGGGAGAGGGGCGAGAGGGGCAAGAGGGGCGAGCGAGCAGGCGACCACAGCAGGTGCGGACGGGTTGGAAAGAACGCCGATGGCGCTGGTGGTGGTGGTGCAGTGTGTGGCGGCAGTGGCACGGGCGAGCACAGCCCCCCAGACAGACACCCCCCAGACACAGACCCCTCCACCACGCCGTCCAGCAAACCGTTCTCCAACTCCCTCTCACAACCCCCACCCCTCCCCTGCCCCCCTCCTCCCATATCCGCAAGTCCTTCCCCACTCACGGCCTTGCCATCCCCATCCATCTCCTTGCCAACCTCATCCTTTACCCGAGTCCCCATGCCCCCTCCCATCCTGCCTGCGTCAGCCACAGCCACGGCCACTGGCAGGTGGCGGTGCAGGGGAGACACAGTGTCCCGCTCCCTGTCCCCATTGCACGCCCACACACCCGCCGCCAAGCACTCCCCTGCCAACCCTTGCGTCGCCTGCAGCCCGCCCTCCTCTCCTCCACGCTCTTTCTCACCACCTGCACCACCATCATCTGCTCCCACACACTCCCACTCACGCCCCCGATTCTCATGCTCCTGCTTCTCCTTCACCTGCTCGCCCTCCTCCTCCTCTATGCTCGCGCAGAACAGCGGGCGCCGGGCAGACCCAGGCGTGCTCTTGCGCAGGGGTGTGCGTGTGGGGAGGGAGGAGCGCTTGGAGATGGGCGTGCGGTGGCCCATGCAGGGCGCAGCAGCAGGCGAGGCGGCAGTGGAGGGCGAGCACAGCGTGCCTGACAGACTCTCCTCCCCGTCCACCTCGCCCCCACGCTGCTGCTGCCTGTGCTGCTGCTGATGTGTGCCCAACTCCTGCTCCTGCCCACCGCGCAGCTGCTGCTGCCCCCGCTCCTCACAGGCAGATGCCGCCGCAGCAGCAAGACCACCGGCGGTACCCACACTAGCAGCCGCACCAGCCGTATCAACAGCAGCAGCAGCAGCAGCATGAGGAGCAGTGGAAGCGGGCGGTGCGCCTCCTCTCTCAGCGCCCGTGGCATCATCGGCCAACGCCACAAGTATCTCTGCATCAAAGCACGCCCCCACCGCGTCCGGATTCACTGAACCGCACGGGGACGAGCTCTGCGGCGTGTCCAGGTATGGAGGAAGCCACAGGCGCTGCAGCTCACCGCCCTCCTTCACCCCCGCCTCCCTCGCCTCCTCTCCCTTCATCCCCTCTTCCCACTCCCCTTCCTCCCCTTTCTCCTCAACCATCTCCTCTTCCGCCTCCACCCCATCAGCTCCCTCCCACTCCATGTCGCCCTCTCCACTCCTGCCCTCCCCCGTGCCCTGTCGCAGCACCAGCGCGCCTGCACCATGCTTGCAGCGGTCAACGCCACCATCTTGAGCGGACTGCGAGTGCGGGGGGTTCGCCCCGTGGCTGTAGTCCCAAGCGGCAGGAGGGCGAGGGTGGGCTCCATGCGCGTTACAAGGCAGGTTGCTGCTCTCATGGGGAACCGCGTTGCGCACTGCATGCCCGCTGCTGCCACACACGGGAGACGCAGTGAGGCACCGCTGCTGCTGCTGATCTGGCTGCGGCTGCAGGGATTCTGGCAGCGGCAGCGGCAACGCACCCCCTTCCGCCACCACCGCAGGCCCGGGCCCTGACAGGGCAGCAGCCTCGGCACTTCCCCGCACACTGTAAGGCGGCTGAGAGCAGGCAAGCGGATGGGGGGCCGCGAGCAGCAGCGCTCCATTCATCGGCCCGTCAGGCAGCATGAGGAGCGGGCGAGCAGGGCCTCCAGGCCTGCCTGCCCCATGCCCTGCACTGCCGCCTGCCTGTGCTGCAGGTACCGGTGGGCTGCCCGCGCACTGTCCCCAGCCCATTCTGCTCCGGGGTGGGTTGCTCCAGGGCCTGGTGCTCCCAGCCGCGCCCACAGGCACAGGAACAGCCACAGGCGCGGCCATGGCCATGGGCGCGGGCATGGGCACGAGGGGTGGTGGTGGCACGGGCGCTGGGAGTGACATGGCAGATGGTGCCGCTGTGCTCATGGGAGCAACAGTGGTCAGAGCCGTGTGCGGGTTGGGGAAGCGCGGAGGGGCGGTGCCAGGCAGGGCGGTGAGGGGAGAGGCGGTGGAGAAGGAGAGAGCTCTGCGCATGGGGGCAGCACCCATGGGGTGATGCGCAGACTGCATGGACATAGGCACGGCTTGATCGGGCGGCAGGCGCGGAAGGGGCAGGCGCATGGGGGATGCACCCAGCACCTGCTGTGAGCTGTCCCGTGCGGCGCCGTTGACCCCGTTGACCCCGTTGACCTGGTTAACTCGCCCTCCCCCAGTTGCGCCTGCCCCTGGTCCCCCAGACCCCCCGCAGCCCCCCTCCTCCTCCAGGCACCTGAGCGCGCTCAGCTGGTCCAGCACAGGCGAGCCCGCCACGCCTGCCACGTGCGCCGCCCCCCCTGCTGCAGGGGCAGCTGCAGGCTGCGGCATGGGCGGTACGGTTGCGGGGAGGGGCGCAGCAGCAAGGGGAGCTATAGCAGGGAGTGGAGCAGCGGGCCTGTGGGCTGCGGCAGCAGCAGCAGGGTGCGTGCGGGTAAGTCCAGGAGGCGCGGGGGCGAGCGGGCGAGGCACTGTGAGCAGAGAGGAGGAGGAGGCGGATGTTCTGAGGTGGGGGAAAGAGGCGAGGGACGTGGGCGCGGGCAGGGCGAGGGCGGGCAGGGAGGGCGAGTGGAGCAGTGGGGAGGGGTGCAGCGGGGAGGCGTGCATGGTGCTCATGCTGCTGCTGCCGCTCGTGGCATACACGGCCGCGTAGGAGAGTGCTCTGGGGAACACCCGCGCGCCCACACTCGCCTCACCCGCTGCTGCTGCTGCCGCCGCTGTTGGCAGCGTGGATGACCGGGAGAGGAATACAGGTGATGCTGCTGCTGCTGCTGATGCTGATCCTGATGCCAATGCCCCTGCTACTGCTGCTGCTGCTGCGGGTGTGATCATGGATTGACCAGCACGCACCACCCCCTGCTCTTCCTTCTCACCCTGCTGCACTGCCTGCCCTTTCTCCCCTTCCCCTCCTCCCTCTCCCTCCCCCGCCTCGCCATCCGCCTCACCCGCGCCGCCCCCACTCACTCCTCCCCCTCCACCCCCACTCACTCCTCCCCCTCCACCGCCCCCATCCCTGGCAGCGGCAGCAGCAGCCTTCACGCGTCGCTGCATCCTCTTCCGGTACGAGTTCCAGAAGTTCTTGATCGCGTTGTCCGACCGCCCCGGCATGTGCTGCGCCATGAGCGCCCACTTGTTGCCGTAGCGCCGCTGCAGCTCGATCACCTGCCGCTGCTCCGCGTCGGAGAGCGGGCCCGGGCGGATGGCGGGGCTCAGGTGCTTCACCCACCGCAGGCGGCAGCTCTTGCCGGAGCGCGCCAGCCCCGAGCGCTGGGCGATGGTGGTCCAGTTGCCCTCGCGGAAGCGCTGCACGCACTCCATCAGGATCGCGTCCTCCTCGGCTGTCCACAGGCCCTGGGGTGCGGGGGAAAGGGGGAGAGGGATGGGCGCGGGGAGGAGGGAGGGATGGATGGGTGTACGGAGGAGGGGGATTCAGAGGAGGAGCGCAGTGCGCCAGGTCCGAGCGCGTGGCGATGGTGGTTCAGAAACCAGTTGCCCTCGGGGAAGCGCTGCACGCACTCCATCAGAATCGCGTCCTTCTCCGCCGTCCACAGGCCCTGGGGTGGGGAGGGGCGAGGGGAGGAGGGTGGGATAGGCGGAAGGGGGGAGGGGGGGATGGGTGTAGGGGGGAAAGGTTGAAGGGGAATTCAGAGGACGAACGGAGTGCTGGAGGGTCGAGCGCGAGGGGGTGGGGGTGGAGTGGCGGTGCCAGCAGCGGTGCACGCAGGCGATTGAGAGCCACGCCAGGCGATTGAGAGCCACGCCAGGCAGTGCTCATAGCCGCTCACCTTCTTCAGCTCGTTATCGCCCGTCGCACCACCGTCCCCATCCCCATCGCCCTCGCCGTCACCGCACCCGCTGTTGCTGTTACTGTTGCTGCTATCCTCCTCTGCAGCAGCAGCGGCGGCGGCGGCGGCCCTGTCGCACGCGTCTTCGTCCCTCGTGGCGTCGCCTCCCATTGTGCGATCAAACGTGGCTAAGTGTGATTGGTCCACGAAACGCGCGGATTGTAAATTCCGTGAGGAAAACGCGGAGGCTTGCTCGCCAGAGCTCGGCGTATTAAGACTCGCGGCTACGTTACCAGGCGTATTCTAATGAAACCAAATTCACTTCGGAGGATCTAAATTCGCGAGTCATCAGCGAGAGGAGAGATTTGCGGCCAGAGATGGCTGAGACGGTCAGAATGCGCAATACTCGTGGCTCAATAGTTGCATGCATGCCTCGATGCCTCTATGATTCCATGGCTGCACTGCTTCAGCTTTCCACGCAGAGACGATCCGAGTGTGAATCTTAGCAATCACTCGCACAGCTCGCTGCTTACTACCCGTGCGTCTGCGGGTTATCATCTCTCAATATAATACGTCGCGACCCCAAGCGCAGGGCACGGAATATCTCGCCAGCACTCGTGCTAGCAGGGCGTGAGAAGCGCCACCCGCCGGTCTCGTGAGAACCCACCCCGCCCGCCCGGCCCGGCTGGACCTACTAGTACCATCGCGCGTCATCCGCCCGCGCCTGAGAGCGCGCCATGGCGCAAAGCTCAACCCTGCGAGTACTGCGATCACTGCGATCGCTGCTTGCCGCGCCATGGCCGGGACTCTCGAGGGTCATCGGCGGTCGCTCCGCCAGGTCAACGCCACGCGGAATTCGATTGAAACGCACGCGACCCGCTGCCCCCTCGCGGCGCCTCAGATTCCGCGGACCTTGGAGCCTCTTGAGTCGCCTCAAGACTCGCCTCGGGTTCCGCGGACCTTGGAGCCAACCGGACTGCACCGCTCCGCGCATCCCCATCCCCCTCACGCAATGCCATCCTGTGCCTTACCCCCCGCGCCTTCGTTTTGCAAAAAGAGCCCGGGCGAGCGCGGATGGTTCCTCGGCGGCATGTGGATCGTCTTTCTGTCGCGCGATGCCCACCAGGCACGGCGCGCAGGGGGATCCGAGGCAAGGCTTGGCGGAGCGGGGAGCAGTGCATGGCGCATCAATACATGCATCGGTCTCCCGGCAGAAACATGCATCAGAGAGGATGGGGGGACGGGGAGACGCGGAAAGAATTTGCCCTAGGGGAGATGGCAGTGACACATCGCTGCAACACTGTTCTGATTGCGCGGAAATATCTCCTCGCCGAGCCGCACGTGGAAGGAGAGGTGCAGCGGATACTTGGAACAACTGTCGGGTGGGCGGGAAGCAACCGTACGCAGAAAATCGACGCTGTACGTCTGAGCCTCGGAGCACATCGGCTCGAGGGGAGTCCGGCGGGTGGGTGGAATGCGCATGGCGCGGCCTGGGGACGGATGAATGCAACGCGAGTCGGTGGACCTTGTTGCTGTGCTGCCTTGCGGTGAGGAGTATGCGAAAACTGACGCGACGACGCTTCCTATTCCACTGCAATGGCGTGGTGTATGGTGGAGTCGAGTCGAGTCGACAGTGGATGGCAGGAACGGTCGGGTCAAAGCAAGAGGAGGAGCTCAACCGCCGAGACTGAGCTGGCAGCGATAACGACGGCAGCACGCATCCACCAACTGGAACGATCAGTCAGAGCCAGGCAGGTCAGGGGCGCCAGCGGATTGGCCATGCCCGAATCATGAGAGTTTTGCTCAATACCGCGGAATCGCGGTTCCTTTTATTATCGCCACGTGGCATGGCTTCGATCGTCGGAACCGCGATCTGTTTTATTGTTCCCACAAAGTTCAAGAGAAATTTAGTTAAGTTTTGTACTGCGCTGCCCGCGGGCAAAAATAAAACCCATTCGGGCCTGGCATGCGTTAGGGAGGCATCAACCCTAAACACCTTGCCTCTAGGTGTTTAGGGTTGATGCATCCCTAACGCCTGCCTTTCCTATAGGTGTTTTCTTTTTGCCCGCGGGCAGGTCAGTACATGTGATCCACTAAGTCTAACTAGATTTCTCTTGAAATTTGTGGGAACAATAAAACAAATCGCGGTTCCCACGATCATATGCATGCCACGTGGCGAAAATAAAACGAACCGCGATTCCGCGGGATTGAGCAAAACTCTCCCGAATCATTCTCCAGACTGCCATACTCCCATATAGGCCAATCTGCTGCACTAACGGGTTTCCGGGGATTTGGATTTTCTAGCAACCCTGTAAATTTGGTTTCACGTTAGAGGGACCTGTTTACATTATTGTTTATTTCACTTTCACTAGTGCCAACAGTGGAGAAATCTTTTTCCAGACCAGATCTTGTACCGAGTGAAGTACCCGGCCAAAATGCTTGTGATCGCACGAGTGTAGCAGCGGAAGATGCTTGTGATTGGATACGGACCCTGTCAGTAGAAGGAGATTGAATATCAACAGAAGTGATAGTGCGATACAAGGGTTTAAATAGGAAAACAAGGGAATACGGAAGGCCCTAGCTAGGCATGTACTCTGAGGGGGTGCATTCCCCTATGGGCTAATATAGATCGGGAAAACCGTGCTGCTCGGTAACCCTTTAAATGGTTTTCCCAGGCATTACATCTCAAATACTTCCTGCTTGCAACCGTCTTCGATAACTGTTTTTATCACTCAATCTTCATCATCTCTTCAAGCATCCTCGCGGTAAGACTTCATTACTTTAGGAATGTTTCAGCAATTCCATATCGTAACACTTCCCTTCATTCCTGAAGAAGAGAGGTCTTAACGCCTTTGGTGTTTTGTTGGAAACAAGTAATTTAACGCTTCTGATGTGTCGAAACATCCAACTGCAAACGAGGCAGATTACAGTGAAACGACAGCGAGTCAACCAAGGAGGTTGACAAACGTAACAGCTGGAGGTTACGCGAAAGTCAAAGGTCGCCGACCTTTGACTTGACAAAGGCAGCGCGACAGCAAGGACAAACAACTGACTCGGTACTGAGCAGTCGCCCGAGTCGTCGCTGTATCGAACCGCAACAGCAACAGTAAAACAGTTGGTTGCATCCTTTCATATTCCTTGTAATCATATATAAAAGCTCTGTATTACCTTGCTATAATTAATCTCTTGCTCTCACACACTAGTGCAAGTTGGTTCAACAGCTCATCAAGAACGCTTCCGCAATTACAATATTCCTACTCAGGGTCTTAGCCTTGAAAGATCCTAAGGGCCTTTCTCAGCCCAACATGGTATGGGAGCACACAAGGCAAGATCCAACTTCATTAATACCCCTACAACGACAGAAGACATGGCGACACAGAAGGAGAGAAGCTCCTCTAATGGCTCTCCCGGTACCACTCCTACTCCACCTCCAGCCTCTGGCCTACAGACAGAAGGAGGCACAGCAACAAGACCAGCTGCTGAGTCTACTGAAACTCCTGCGAACCAGGCATCAGGTTTTGACCCAAACATGATGGAGAAATTCTTCTCCTTCATGTCCTTCTACGAACAGCACCAGCAAGCAGCACCTGCGCAATCAAACAACAGCGACAACAACAATGGCGTCACTCCAATGCATCTTGACGGATCATCCTATGCGCGCTGAAACCAGCAGCAACCTACCTTTGCTCCGTACGAGCCTCAACGCGGATCTATCAGCTTCATGCCACACCAACAGCCTTCACCTGGACAAGAGAAGACACTGGACGTGTCAAACATTATATATGTTTCTATTCTGTAGGCTATAGAGGGTTTAGCCTTAGGGGGTACAACATTCTAGGTTTTCCTACTTGTACTCCCAATGCTGTTAGTTCAATCATTCCTCTCTCATTCTGACATGGTATTACGAGCCTAGGTTAGGAACCTAGGACCGCTTGTTCCTAAGGGCCCACCGTTCCGCTAGAAGCGCCCTCGTGCGCCCTACCTTCCTCGCGCCCTCGTGCGCCTCTTTCCTAGTGCGCCCTCGCGTGCCCTCCCTCTCACGCTGCCCGTGCGCAGCCCACTAGCCGCCCGCGCGCGGCCCGTTTTTTCACGCGCGTAGCCCGCTAGCCGCCCGCGCGCGGCCCGTTTCTCGTGCGCGCGACCCGCTAGCCGCCCGCGCAGTCGACGCCGCCCGCGCGCAGCCCGCCCTGGCCTAGCGCGGCCCCTAGCACAGCCCTCGAGCTGCCCGTCTACCGACGCGCGCCGCCGCCTCGCGCTCGCAGGCCGCCGCCCGTACGTAGGCCGCCGCCCGCACGTAGGCTGCCGCCTCGCACAGTCGCAGACCGCGCGCCGGCCCACCCCCCCTGCCCGAGCCGCGCCGCGCCGTCCTGCCCGAGTCGCGCCGCCCTGCCCGAGTCGCGCTGCCCTACTGTGCACCACCTGCAGCAACTGCTACTCCTGTTACTGCTACTGCTACTACTGCTACTGCTGCTACTGTTCCTACTGCTGCTACTGCCACTATGGCCAGTCCTACCGTTCTCACTTTTGACGCTGAGGGCCGTCCGATTAAGTTTGACGTCTGGCTCGATGACCTGCACCTGTTCCTCCAGATCACTGCCAAGGACGATGTTTCCCTGTTTGACCACACGTCCGGCGCCGCTCCCGCACCTGCTGCTACTGCTGACAGTACGGCTCGCTCACAGTGGCAGACCCGTGACGCTCACGCTCGCCTAGCCGTTCGCAGCCACCTGCCGTTAGATGAGCGCGAGCACTTTGGCCAGCATAAGACCGCTCAGGAGCTGTACGATGCTGTAGTTGCGCGCTACTCCTCCCCTGCTACTGCTGCGATAGGCCGTCTCTCGCTGCCCTATCTCTTCCCCGATCTGTCCGCCTTTGCCACTGTAGCTGACCTCATCACTCACCTCCGTACTAGTGATCTCCGCTACCGTGCCACGCTTCCTCCCGATTTCCTCGCCAAGAACCCTCCCCCGATGTACCTCACACTCTACCACCTAGTCACTCGCCTCCCTGACTCTCTTCGCGCTGTCAGGGACCACTTTCTCGCCAGGCCTCAGGATTACAGGGCATTTTACCCTGATTAGCCTGTTTTTCAGGGTCGTTTTTCTAGACCACACTGTAAATACAGGATTCAAGGGTTCTACCACCCTGTCACGATCAGGCCTCGTGAAATT